TGAGGAACCTCCGATGATTTGTAGCAATCCCCTGGTAGGATTTTCTCGGAGCACTTAATGTGTGAAACTGTAGTGCGGCAGCCAAACGTTACCTGTGTCCGTAAATCAATTGCTAAAAAACGTAAACAAAGCAGTGAAGAAATACTTTCCAGTTGTACAGAGATTAGTGTAAATAATAACCCCTTATGTCCTTTCCTGCAATAAAATTGGAAAACTCACGCAGATCTGTTTCCTCTTTATTATATGAGTGAACATGCAGGCCTGCGGGGTCTGGGCTAAGAAGAGATTACTGCAAGTTTTTTGTTTTAATTTTATAGGACCGACATGTTGGGGTCCAAAGACTCATAACCCTAAAACTATTCAGCTGCTTTAGGTATTCTTGAATGAAGTAAATATCCTTTCTTACTGCTGCTGCGCTTACAAACTGGTTTTTGGTATTTCACCTTTAGGGCACTGCTTTGAAAACCTCCTGCGCGTGTAACAGCTGAGTTGTTACCGTCCGAGTTCTCTTTGGCATCCTCAGTTCAGTTCCCAGGCGACAGGGGTTGATGTACATCTCTCATTATGAACCTGTGACCAGGCAGACACTTGAGGAGTTGAGCTAAGCCCATTACAGACTTTCCCCCCCCCCCCCGCACTTCACCGGTACTTCTGCAGTTTGTCATCCCAGTAAAGACTTCCGATTTAAATGGTGTCCGTGTGCTCCAGGCCACGGCTGATGCGTTGGGAGGCAGAGCAGAGACGGGGCCCGAGGGAACGCCTGCTCGGCCCCGAAGGCCGCCCTTCGCTGTCAGCGCGGCGCAATATTGATGGGCAGCACAGCGAAGCTTTCGTGCTCCTCCCAGGCCTGCAGGATAAACCCCCCAGGTCCCGGTGTTACCCAGCTGTCTGGCGTAAACTCTGCCTTTCCTCAAGGTCATTTGCCTGCTCTGTGGTTATCGGTGTTTGGGCTATCATTTATCATTTGTTCCCAGGCCACAGAGGACCAAACAGCTACTCCATTCTGGATATCTTTTTTTTTTTTTCCATTTTCAGTATCAAAATCTTGGCATCTTTCTCTCTTTTTCTGAGCACTGGAACAAATTGCAACTATTTTGCTGCCCTCATGCTGTGCTAGAGCTCCTTTCGTATGACATACTAGGCAAAGATCACTCGCCTTCTGTATTACCACCAACTGAGAATCAAATACTGAAGGGCTATAGAAAAGTTCTTCATCTGTAATTTCAGATGCCTAAAACCACTTGAAAATTTAAGACCGCTACGAACATTTCCAGTCTTCTAATGAGAGTATTCCATAGTTGGCTTCTCTTCTTGGTATCATCCTGTAGTTTTTTCTCTGATCCCTAGTTTGAATCATGGAAGAAATCCTAGGTTCTCCTTTTCTTCTTAGGTTTCATCTATTCGAGCAGATGACTAACTCATCATCATTTTAGCTGAACTGAAAAAAAAGTGTTCTGTAACACTGATGATCTTAAAATTCATTGTCAAATGCTGTTTCCTTAAGACTGTACTCTTTCCAAGATTCAAATTTACCTTTGATTTCCCTGCTGTGCAGGTCAGCAGACTAGTAAACATAGAATCATGAAGTGGTTTGGGTTGGAAGGGACCTCTAAAGGTCATCTAGTCCAACCCCCCTGCCGTGGGCAGGGACATCTTCAACTAGATCAGGTTGCTCACAGCCCCGTCCAGCCTGACCTGGAATGTTTCCAGGGATGGGGCATCCACCACCTCTCTGGGCAACCTGGGCCAGTGCGTCACCACCCTCAGCGTAAAACATTTCTTCCTCATATTTAGCCGGAATCTGCCCTCCTTTAGTTTAAAAGTCATTCCCCCTCGTCCTGTCGCTACAGGCCCTGTTAAAACATCCCTTATAAACACATTATGTTGTAGCAGGTCTTTCTGTACAGTTCACTGCCACTCTCTTGCGGCTATTCTCTACCCTCTCCCTTATTACTGAATATGTGTTTGCTTTTGGGTTTTTTTTTTTTTGGTTGTGGTTTGGTTTGGTTTTGTTTTGTTTTAAACTGCTTACCTTGATCTCCAATTTATTTTAGCTTACTTTCTCTTTTAAGTGCATTTTCACACCATGTTCCAACATACAGGAAATCCGAAAGGAAATTTGTATCAAAGGTGAGTATTCCAAGATTTTGTTGTAGTTGTTTAAATCTAGATGTTGACTTTTTCCTCCCACCCCCCAGGTTTGAGACATTTAGGCTTTTCTGCTCTCCGAAATACTGGAGTTCATGCTCTCCGTGGAGCTCCAGGACTTTGTGTCATCTCAGAAGCATCTCTACCCGTTCACCGGTTGTCCTTTAATTTTGGCTAACAGTGTGGGATTTCCGCACTGCAATAGCCTAAAAGATTGATCTTAGAATGAAAAGAAAACCAAAGAAAACTCATGCACAAAGATGATTTGCATCCTTCATCTCTGTTGAAGAGGGAACAGAGGCCTTCAGATCACAGTCGCCCAAGTAGGGGGAGGTTCTGTTCTCCCAGAAGTTTGCAAGTGTAGGACCACGGTGCCAGCACCGAGCTGCAGGGAAACCGAGCAATCTAGAAGCAAGGACAAATAATTTGCTCAAAATTCACTGTTCAAACACCCCTCACCTCCGCATTTTACCTCCTCGTTAGATGTGAGGGAAGAAAGCGGGTCAAGAATCTGGCAGAGAGAGGAAAAGGCTGAACTCGCATGAAAGGGGCGTAGCTTGGTGGTTTGAAAAATGTGTTGTCGTGTTGACCGTTAACTCTTCAGATTTAATTACACATGGCATCTGTGTGCGGGGGAAGCCTAGCTCTGAATGCTGTTAATGTGAAATTCATAATCAGATTGCTCAAGTCCATTGAAATTCATGAGGCCAATTCTTAGAACTCTGAAAGTAAGTAATGCAATTATCAAGTCAAGAACGCTTAAAACAATGCGTAAATGTATTTGGAACAAAGTTGAAGATTATGAGATATTAACTCAAACCTGCTGTGGCTTTCACATACCTTATTTTAAAAAGTACAGAAAAACTAAGTGGGCGGGTAGAGTCACTGCAAAAAGTACAAAGAAGGTTCTTTGGGAGACGAAAGAACGGGGCATGCATTTAAATCAGGACCATATGACATCATCTTGGGTTCCAGCTCACGGAGATGGGTTGCCTCTGGATTCCTGTTTCGCTTGTCTGAGTTCTCAAATCTTTTGACCAAGTCAGAGGTACAATCATTATTTTCATCTTATTTCACGCGCGTCTTCCAGTTTATTCTTAGTAGCAGGCTCTAGGAATGCGGGAGCAGGCTGTCTTTTTACTTGACAATTTGCGAATGCAATATTAGTGGCACTTCAAAATAAAGTTTGAAGGCTCGTAGATGCTAGGCTTCGCACAAATGCTGCCTGATGCGCCTTGAAAATGCCGGGCGCGTTGCGTTTGGTGTGCCTGTAAGCCTTTTTACGGCCCGTTCCTCCTGGCTGCCAGCTCCCGCGTGCTGCTCGACAAAGATAAGGGCTGGGGACCGACCCGCTCGGCGGCGGAGCAGCTGGGGGGGAATCTTCCTGGCACCCAGCCCAGCCGCGGCTCTGCCTTAGCGAGAGCGGCAGGGGGGGGGTTCACTGCCTACTGGGAGATCGGTTTCCTGGTGGGAGGCAGAGAAGCGGCGTACGTGAGAAAGCCTGCCCTATAAAAGTGCATTCCCGTGACTTGGGCGATGAACCCGTCATTTTAAGAAATTATTTACGGCTCTAGCCGAAAGCGGCGATTTAATAAAGAAACCGTTTTGAGCTCCGTTTGGATTTTTCGATGAATCGGTCCTAGCTGTTTCCACCATGTAGCAAAGCAATTTCAGGCACCGAGAAGGAAATTGGGCTTTCGGTGACTGGAGCAGCCCAAGTGGAGCAGATGCTTTTGTGGGAGCTGACAAAGCTGACGCAGGAAGCTGTGACGAGAGCAGTAATAGAAGATACGGATGGAAAAGACTTGCAGCAGATTATCTCCTTGTTGACACCGAAATTTTGTACCAACGGTAGCAAACCGTAGCAGTTTACCTTTAAAAAGGGAAATCCGTTTCTTTGCACGCTGCAGCTCCCCGTTTCAGAAGTGGACTGTTCTGTATCCTACCGGTTGCCGAATGAAAGGAACAATTAAGAGGCTGCAGCACAAAGCCGGGCAGGGCGCACCGCTGAAAGTCACCTGGCAGTGCCAAACGGGCCGTGCTCCTCTCATGCTTTGGGGGAGGCCAAAACAGGTAGCACCAGCGTGAGGAGCCCAGGGTATTTTTCTCAAATGCAGGACCTGGACCGAGCGGTTTTGTTGAATGTGGCTTCATCATTAATATGCCACATTTTTTTATAGAAATAAAAAAAGGGAAAAAAAAACCTGGAGGTGAAAGATCAGGTGTTCGCTCAACTTCTCCTAACAGTGTAACACGCATACTGCAGTACTTAAAAAACTGGAATTGTCCTCTCAGTAAAAGCCTTACAAAGCCTCTTCCTATTTAAGGCTGCCTTGAGGCCCAAAAGCTCACGAAATAATGCAAATACGTGACTGCGACCAAGAGAGTCGAACCACCTCCGCTATAAGATAACGACATTTAATGCAAAAAGTCTTCACGCCCTGCGGACCGGTAGGAACTGGTTCTACTGGCGTTCCCTTGGGATGCCTACAGTCTTCCGGGTCAGTGGTTCACCTTCTACTTCACACCGTGCGAGTTACTCAGAACAATGTCATGGCAGTTATGACGAGCATTATACCGACCGCTGTGTCAGAGAACACAGACGCAGCTGGAAAGGCAGTTCTTGCCAGTTTAGAGAAGACGTTGCCTCAAATATAGCTACACTAATAGAAAATATTGCTGTAATCAGGAGATGGCAAGATAAAACTTCCAAGTCCTCACTTTCCCTTTGCTTTTACACCACGTTGTATTTTATCAGATAAAAGGTTTTAAAGGATTCCTAGAGCAAATAAACACAGAAAGAACATAGTATTTTGCGAAGGGTTATTCTTGGGTCTTGGGAAAGTCAGCGCGTTCCCGTACCCATCTAAGCCTCTCTGCTACTACTTGGACGGCTCGAAGTGCCTCAGGGCTTATGTGTCATCTTTGTACTTTCATTAATAGACATAGACTTAATATGCAGAGATCAAGAATTAGTGAGCCTGGTGGGGAGAAAAGATCTACAGTAGGTAACTTGTAACATTAATAGAAGCAATTAAGAGAACTTTTTAAATTTTCAGTGTAATAAGGTGCTTGTTGGCACACCATTTGAACCATCAGGTAACGACGACCAGTAAGAATTCTCACATCCATCCCCAGCTTGCGAGCAGCACCTTGCTGGCAGCAATTTAGACTCATTTCCTAAAGATCAACATTTTATGTCGCAAACTCTAGTTTTGTGACACATCTTTCTAACGATTTTAAGCGCGTAGGGACTTTTGAATAGATCTGTATTCCACAACTCAATCCTCACAATTCACAGTTAACAGGAAAATTCTTTAAGGCCCAGATGTTATGTTTATTCCCTGTAGACATTTTTTTTTCCTTTTTCCAGGTTTAATTTAAAATTTAAAAGTGCTAAATTATCTGATGTTCCTGAATCATCACAAAGAGATCTGCGCAGCCAATATCCTGACTGAAGTCGGCAGCAGGAGGCAAAGTTGTATGTTCTGGGTTCGCTTTTTAATTTATTTCCTTTTTAACGTATTTATACAGCGGTGGTAAAGCGCTTCATTACCGTCGCTTCGTGTCTACCACTTGATTGTACTCATCAGCTATCCTGTGGCTGCATTCCAATAGCCAATAATGGAATTTCGGGCCATTTCGTAATAGAAGTATTCAAAACCTAGTATCTTAATTTAGCCAACAGCTGAAAAGTTCAGTAACCAGAATACAGACAGTCTTCAGAGGAAGATTAGGTCAATCTCAAGGATGTATGGCAATGGTTCTGTAATTAACTGATTTCATTAACAGCCCCCTTTTGTGAGCGCTCCATTTGTTTAAATCCTGAACTAATAAACTGCCCTTGCATTTTAGATGGTCAGCGCACAAATGCCTTGGCACGTAAGTCCACACTCTGTTGACTGTAATTTGATTCAGCGGAGAGGCGTGTCCGTGATTTGGCTGCGGTCAAGGAAGGCGGAATGAGCTGTAACGCTTCAGCAGGTTGAATGGAAGACTCCCCCCACTTTGACACCCTGAGCAGCCAGGGCATTGTACTCCTCCACAGCCTTCTCTGTTTGCAAGACCAACACATCAATCCCGTTTTTCTTCAGGTAGTCCACAGTGGATGGTGGAACCTCCAAAGAGAAAAGGAAATGGGAAGAGCAAGTATTAGATTCTTTTTCCCCCTCACACTGTAAGGCTTGAAGAAAAACAGGTACTGACGGCATTTGGTAGTAGGTGCACTTAAGTAACGGATAGTACCCAAACTGATAATATGCTCAGATATTTCCACGACTGATACATAGTTTTTTTTTTCTTCAGTAAAGCTACTTTTATATACACACCTCCCATCTCTCCTTAACACGGTTTAACAGGCAGCCCTTTCTTACGAAAGGAACAGAATTGGAGCTAAAGGTAATTAATCTAAAGAAGGTGTTACTCACCTCACTGAAAAGCTAAAGAATTGCTTCTCATGAAGTGAAGCTCGGCACTTCTGAGCTTTCGGTAGCTAGTTTATCTGCTGAAATGACACCCTGCCAACATTAGTAACAAAAACGCCTAATTATCAAAGTATTTACAGCAGGCTTAGAGGGCGAGTTCATAACCTATTCTAAGAGGGGGGACTTAATGACATTGTGAAAAATTCTCCTTGTTTAAATTACTCCTGTAGCAGAACTAAGGCTGTTCACTGCTTGACATTGACACTACCAGAGAGGAGCTTACATGATGTTTCTTTCAGGAAGAGAGTGGCTCCTGGCAGGAGCACAGTCATGCTAATTCAGCATCCTGAATTTTTTCCCTCTTATTAAAGCACCATAGATTCCCCGACACGCGCACGCTAATCAGAGGGGGAGGGCAAACAGCCAGTTCTAGTTTATGTTTATCACAGAACAAAAACCTACCTGCAAAGCCTCACTCATGCCACGACCAATCACCACAGTTTTAACACCCTTCCTGACGACTTCTTCAAGGTCAGCCGGTTGCACTCCTGGAGAATGCTAAGTGTCAGGGGAAGAAAACAATAGTCTGTGTACTGACAGCATCAACCAGGAAAGCTTCGTCTGTATGTTTTGAAACTGTCCACGGAGCAGCAGGGTAAATTAGCAGTACCAAAATGAAACACAACACTCTTTTCTGCATACACACAGTAGGTAACATTGGTAGTGAAAAAAGGCATTTTCTATGCAGATGAAGGATGATAGTTAATCAATTGATGGCAATATTATCACTTCATTAAACAGTTAAAAAGATGCATTACACCTTTCTAAAACATTTATGTCTAACAACTAACATTTTATAAATATTAAAGTGAAATCGATAAATTGCAACGTATCGCCCTTCGTTTTCAAATGAACAAACCCTTTTTGTAATAAAGATTGTGGCAAGACGAAGTTCACTCTAATTACAAAGAGCTCCTCAAATAATTAAAATTATTAAATTCTTTTCTTGTTTACTTTGCAAATCTCATTTACCAAAGAGGACTGAAACATATTGGTTAGCTTCATTTCAGTTAACAGTTTCAATTTCTGCACTATTCTTAATTTTGAGAAAGGAATATTTGAAAGCAAACTCCTCAAAGAAGAAAAGAAGAGCTTTAACAGCATGTTGACTGAGTTTTTAAAGAAGTACACCCATTTACTACTAGTACGCTTTAAACATATGAATCCACAAATACACCTGTAATGTTAATGTAAAGCACTGTGTCACACTAATTCTCCTCCTGGATTCAATTTCTATGTATCTCCGCATGGCCAAGAGTAAGATCCTGTACAACCTGTGGCCAGAGTTTGGCCCCTCATTGGTGTGCACTTTTTTTAAACCATAAATAATACTATTTGCCCCCCCCCTTTTTTTTTTTTTTAGGATTCTTAAATTCTTTTAGAGGACTGAGATGAGTTTCTCACTTGAAGTAGGCAACACCATGGTGGACTCCTGGAGAATGTTATTTTTATGGAGATGCCCATACATCTTTATCCCCTATACTTCCAGAAAATACTACATTCTTCCAATGAATTAAGGTCAAAGCACCAGCTTAACAATTGGCTTCTGTTGTTCCACTGTTAGTGAGCTGTACTCTTTGATGTCCTTGGGCCCTCTGCTATTCTTTTTCCCCTGCCCAAGTCATCAGCAGCTGATGCTGCAGCCTCTCACAAGGTGTCGGAGTTCTCTTCTCAGCCCTGTCAATGCAGAACAGAGCAAGCAAGACTTTTCAAGCTGAAACGAGCACATGAGCTCCTGAAGTTACAGGTGAGGGAAACCTTCCATGGTAGAGTGCCACTTCCAGTGAGTGGATTAAATTTATCCCACCAGAAAGTCTTTAGCCTGGCTGGTATCTGGAATTTCAGCAACAGAGATTTTTCACCCTTACAGTTCTCCAAATTGTGTTCCCCTTAGTCCATTTACATTTGATATCCACACCTGGAATGCGGAGGTCACTTCAGCAGGCAGAGCTTCCTCAGACCGAATCACCGCAAGTACGTGTTTATGACAGAACAGGTAATGCTTTGCCTTTGGGGATTTTAAAGTAGACTCAAAACTTACTTAGACAAAAAGAACTGGTACGGTTTACTGCAATTACAATAATTAGATCGCTGGGGAAGGTTTGCTGTCATACGATAAGTACTCCCGAGACATTAAAGCCACGGAATAAAAGGATTTTCTTCGGTTACACAAGACACTCTAATGCGGGGGCTTCCACACGTTTCACAGGAAACTAGTGTCATTAAAGGAAACATGTAACACGACGGAATCACTGTATCATTGCTGATAAAAAAAAAAGAAAGGGCAGCAGAATTTCTTGCCTGTTTTGTGCTCCGGTCTTCCTTTCAGGATTCCTACTTCTCTTCTCCTGTTAGCAGATGGCACTGAAATGCAGCCAGCCCAGGGAGGCTGCCTTTCATCCCCAAGGGTTAAGGCCATAAGAACCATTAGTACTTAGTTACAGAATCTTGCAGAGCCAGTTATACAATTTTCCCGATGAAAGAATTATGTACTAGAGAGCAGTCTGATAGCAGAGAAGGAAAGGAAGCAATTTATTTCCAACTAGAGTGTGGGACATGACCAGCGCTGCTTGTTTCCCAAACTTCAGCTCCACCTACCCCAGGAAAAACATGCTCAAAGAAAGCAGACGCACTGTAGTCTACCATGAGGAAACGCACAGAAAATGCATCTGGAGAATCCTGCTGTTTCCTGTGCTGATGGGATTAACTTTTTTATAGTTCTTCTAGAGTTGGAGATGCAGTCTAGAAAAGCTTAGTTCTATTCTCACATTTGTCACTTGCTATTCATTTTTAAACCAAATCACCTAACTCCTCATAGCTGCAAGGGGGATAGAACCGACCTAAAGCAGGAGCTTTACAAGTGACCTATATAATAAGGCAAAACATAAACAGGTATTTTTTACTTCCTGATGATATAAAAAGGATGCCAGAAAACCTACCTCTTCAAATAATCCAACATAGACTCGTTTTTCTTGTTCCAGTTGGAGGACTCCTCTAAGGACTTTTATGGACTTAAAGCTTTTATCTGTCACCTGAAGATATCCCCTGTTAGAAACTTTAAAAGGGAAGTGCAGCCTCCTAAATGCTAGTGGGTGGTTATAATGTGAAACCAAAGTTTTCAAGTGGTCGGAATGAATATCAAAATGTGATTGAGCTGGGAACTAGTTGGGAACTTTTCAGCTACTCTATCTGTTCTGCTCCTCCCATCATACGTGCGTATAAACCAGGAAAACAGTACTGTCAGACAAACCAAAAGCGACTCTCACCACACACAACCCCCCCCTCTGAACAGCCAGCAAAAACTTCATTTTTTATAATCGGACCATAAATGAAATGCATTTAAAAAGGTTACATACACAGCTATCTTTCTCTCTGCAAGGTACAGATATCTTTGCATGACAGCACTACCTTTCTCTTGGCGTCATATACTCTGTATAAACTGAACTCTGACAGCTTAAAAAACCTCTGTTCCCCCACAGATTATAGATGAAGTTCCAAAACAAAAGGTTCTGCCCTTCCATTGTGCCAAAATGAATTCAACAGTCCTCTGTGTGGACACAGCTGCAGGTGCAGGGTCCAAGGCCTGATCACGATGTAGTTCTTTTGTGCTTTAAGTTTCACTTAGAAAGTATGGTTTGGTTTTTTTTCCTAGCTAATACAGCTATTCTAGTGCAAGCCCTAATATGGGGACAATTATCATCGAGTTCCTAATGCAATAGACATTATGCTGCTTCTAAATCTGGAACATCAATACTATCCCATGTACTTTTATATGATTCGGACAGCATTCACAGATAAAGTGTAAAAACTGTGAGGGCAAGTACTTAGTATATGGCTACCAAGAGAAGTCATTGGGTGGTTAGCCAGACTGTGAGCTTTTCACGGGGAAACTAGTGCATATAACACTGTATCTGCATATTTTTCCTCTGAAACAAGTACGAGGGACCCCAAGGAAAAGGATGTAAACTAAACCACATGCGTTGCTGTCTTCCAAACACATAAGGTCAGTTACTGATGATTTCTTTTAACTTCCCATAATTTTTTTTCCTATCTCACTCACGACAACTTTTGTTTACACAGCCTGAAAAGAGGTTGTTACCAGTACCTTAACGACAATGGCGCTCTTAATCAAACGCAGAATGCCGTTTGAGAGCTCTAAGGTGTGTGAGAGCGGTCTGGTCGGGGTAGCTGTGAGGACTGGCGGCAACAGTCGCTACACCCTGTCACCTGTAGGACGTTCTGTGTCTGCAGTCCTCTGACCTCTCCGCACAGTCACTTCTGAAACATACACTCCGTTCTTACCAGGGAAAGTCTAACGATTAGATGAAAGCAAAAGGCAGCCCGCTGAATTTCTGGCTGGAACTTTAACAACCCTTCTCTGGACCATTCTCAGAGTCCCGCTTAAAATGCAGGATGGATCATAAACAGCAAACTTACATTGGTCCCAGTTTCTCGCCAATCCCAGGTTCGGCTTCCTCCCGGCCATACTTTGCAGTCCTTATACGTTGTAGAGCAGCCTTTCACCTTCATCTGACCCCAAGAAAGGGAAGCAATTTCAGGGGAAGACATCACAAAGTTGAAGCAAAGTCTGGAAAAAGGATATTTAATACATAACATCAGGCTAACATATGCAGCACGTTAATAAAAACGGGAAATTCTGTCCTTGCCCCAAGGAGCTGGGAAGGAAACGCTGTTGCAGACTTTATCCACGTGCTTTTGTGACAACAGAACTGAACTGAGGATCGGCAGATTTGTTGAATTACCAGTCCTCTTGGGGATTTTGTGCAGGATTTGGGGCAAATCATTTTACATGCTAAACCTGTACAAGTATTGGGTGCTCAACTTTTAAAACTATCAACAGGGATCAGGTCCCAGAATATCCTCTCATATCTGGGTTTTAATCTTTGCCCTAAAACCTACAATGAAGATGACAATAATTTCCTAAAATATCTGAAAGAGACACTGTTTCTTCGGCCCTCTAAACCACATTGGCATGTATTGGTTTATTAATTTAATACAGTAAATGAGGTTAATAAAAATCCCAAACAAACCAACCCAACAGAAAAGC